TACCCTCTGTTTCCTGTCTGTGCTCAAATATCACCTTCCCTGGGAGCCTGCCCTTCCCACCACATTTTAAAGCACAAGGTGTCCTCGAGGCTCTCTCTGTCATCTTCATCTCTGCTTCTTCCTGTGACGCTTAGAGCCAGTCAGCATGCTGCACGGTTTACATGTTTATTATCTCCATCGTCTGCGTCCCCCACGGAACTCCATGAGGGGGAGGAACAGTCTCTGGTGTCCGCTGATGGACATGGTGCCCAGAAGAGGAGCAGGTCACAGGTGAAAGAGTGAAAGGGGCAAGCAGGCAAAGGGAAGAGCACGAGCAAAGGCCCAGAGGCCAGCCCCGCAGGGTGTCAGGTGTGGCCATGGCAGGACGACCAGATGTCCCTCCTGGCCTCAGCAGGAAGCTGCCGCATGCCCTGGACAGCCGGGCTCCCAGCCTCAACCAGGGCCTCTGGGTGCTGGCCAGGCCACATCCCTCTGCCTGCCCCGGGCTCTCTCCTCACCCACGTTCCACTGCCCTGGTGTGCGTTTCATTTGCGTTTCTTGCTGTCTAGGGCTTCCTGATGTGGGGTGACCTCTGTCGCTCGTGTCTCAGTTCTGTTCTCCCTTCTGCTGCCAGCAAGAAACACACTGCACAGCTCAGAAAACAATCCATCATTCTGTCATAACATTTCCATTTCAAAGACTTCCTTTCCAAGCTTCACTCTGGCCAAAAGCTTCCTCTCATTAGCATGAGAAGAACTGGCAGGAAAATGAGTGACAGGGAAGGAGAGGAAGTGGAAATAGGGCCCTGGGCCTGAGCCTCTGCCTATGTCTACACAGCGGCAGGGAGGGCGCTGGGCTGGGCAGGTGCTGGTGGGAGACCGGTGTGTGTATGTGTGTGTGCACATGTGTCTTTGTGAGCTCATGTTTCTCGGCACTCGTGATTCATACCACTTGGTCAAAGATTTGCCTGCTCAGATCACAAGGCATACGCCACCCTCGGGCACTTGCTGAGCCTCCACAGTGTGCCAGGAGCTCCTCTGGGTGCTGAGGATTCAGAGCCACGGGTGCTGTCTGGCAGAGGCACTGCCAGGGGAGTGAGCAACTACCACGGGATCAATGCTGTTGTAAAGCTCCCTGCTGAGCATTAGGAAGCAGGAAGACGGGAGTCTGGCGGAGCAGGGGTGTCACCACGGAAGACACTTAAGCTGGTCTGGAAGGATGAGGAGCAGATTACAGGTCAGAGAGTGGAAAGACGAACAGCAGGCAAAGGGAAGAACATGAGCCCAGCCCAGAGACCAGCCCCACAGGGTGCTGGTGACATGGAACCTGAAGTGAGTTTGCTCCCTCATCATGCAGCAAGCCAATCTCTGACACCAGGTGTAGTGAAGTAGGAATTTTGCTGCAAAGCATGAAGCAAGGAGAACGGGCAGCTCACGCTGTAATCGCAAACTCCCCAAAAAGCTACAAGCAAGGGTTTTTGTTTGGGGTTTTAGGTAGGAGAGGGGGGCATGTGGCCATGGGGGCTGAAGTTCTAAGAGTCCTCCGCACAGGTGTAACTGTCTGTTCTACGTGTTGCACGTGGTGGATTTTTAGTCTTTGACCTCTGAAGTTTACAATCAGTCGTTTTAGTTTCTCAATGCTCCTGCAAGATGCTTAGTCAGGCAGGGGGCTGTCAGCAAGTTCCTCTCTCATCAGCCGTCCTCCTGCTGTTGTGCAGGGCAAGCTCCGAAACTAGTTATTTTGTTTCCCACATTAACCTTGTGGGTACGAGGCAGAGTTCCACCCTAATCCAGGCAAATTTTAATTCCTTCGTCCTCAGCTTCATTGGGGGTAGCCGAGCAGCAGACAGACAGCAGCAAATGCTTGGTGGGTGGACGTGCACGGCCACCGAGGCTTCCTCAGCTGCCATCTCCCTGCCCTGGGCCTCATCAGCTACTAGGAGACCAGGGAGCGAGTCAAGGCCACTCAAAGGGCCCCCTCCCAGCACCACAGCTCCTCATTGGCCTCCAGGTTGTCCCTTTTCACAACCAGATAGTAGATGAACTGACAGCCCCTTCCAAGGCCCCATCATCCCCTTGCAGACCCCACAGAGAGCTGGGCCTGGTGCAGAGCCCAGTGTGGGCCCCTTGGCAGAACCTTCAAACCCTGGAGGCAGCTTGGCCCCCTTCTCTCCACTCTCAGCATGCACTGAGCCACTCGCTAGGGACAGCAAAGGATGGGGAATGTTCCAGGCTCAACAATGGGAGGGAGAAGACACAAAGTGGGCCTGAGTATGTGGTGGGGGGAGGGTTATAAACATCCAAGAGGAAAGAGGAGACAGCAGCAAGCAGTGTGACTCTTGAGGACCTCACTGATTGATTCATTCATTCGTTCAACAATACTTGATGGGGGCGTTCCATGAGTTAGGCACCCAAGATAGCAAAATGAGAGGTGCACAGTGTCTGTCTTCAGGGAGCCCGCAGTCCGTGAGGGAGACAGACAAGGAAATAAACGTTAGGATACGAAGCGCTGTGCTGGGGAGATGCTGGGTAGAGCGGGGCACAGCGGGGCACACAGCCTTGTCTGGAGCATCCTGAAGAGCCTTGAACTGAGGTGAATCTTGAAGGACAATTAAAAGTCAAAGGGGTTAGGGTGTAGAGAACATTCCAGGCAGAGCATTCTCTGCAGCCAGGAGAAATCCCAGGAGCAGAATGTGAGGCTGCCCACCTCTCGTTAGCCACAGGAGGGAGCTGCCTCACAATATTGTCACTACCATCTCAGGACAGGGATGGTCACCAGGGCCAGGAGGGCCAGGGGACACAGCAGGGGGCCATGTGGTCCAAGCCTCCCATTTATGAAAATTATCATATTTAGACTTTCTACATTATCTACAATTAAGGATGGAATGTTTAAAGTACTATTTGTTAAGTGTAAACCGTTGGAATATAACACAATCTTTGTGAGTCTGTTCGGCATTATTTTAGTATACAAGAAGCCTAAAAATAATGAAAGTGGCCCAGTTCTGTCTCACTCTTGGTGAACAGGCAGCATTGGTCTTAGATGAGAAAAGTGAGGCTTAAAGAAGTCGCTCAGTGCCGGAACTGACTCCTCAGCGTCACACTGGCCTCCCTGACCCCATAAGGCTCAAACACCAAGGTCCACCCTCTGTCCTTGAAGTCCTGGAATGTTCTCCGGTTGCCTCTGCCCCAACCCACCCCAGGTTCCGCAGCTCACCCAGGCCTGCAGCCTGAGCCCTTCCTCCTCCACATCGCCCGCACAGCCCAGCCCTGCTCCTTCCCTGCCAGAGGCCATGGGTGCCTCTATGGCCAACGCTGCTCAGCCACAGACCCAGAAAGGTACTGTGCACAGCATGTCCACTGCCCTGGGTCCTTCATCTCATGTGTCCTTGGGTGCAGCTGAGAAAGACCCCAGGAGATGCCCCCAGAGGGGCCTTTCAACAGGCCCCCATCTGCAGCTCCTGCTGGGAGACCCCCAACGCTCCTCTTCATAAACGACAGTCCCCTTTGTGAAGTGTCAAGGCCAGACCTGCAGCTGCAGGCTCTCTGAGATGTGCTGCATGACCCTGCTCTGCAGCTGTTTGCTGGGCAAGTGGGGGCAGGACAAGGTGGGGGCAGGGACTAGATAGGAACACGGCCCCCCGCCCCGGCCGCCTTTCCAAGGCCTTCTGAGAGTTGAGCTACTATAAACGTGTGACTTAAAGCTCAGCCCCCATCTTGGGGGTAAGACTGGCTGTGATTTAGAAAACAGAAGCCCGATTCACTGTACTGTCCCCTGTTAGGGAAAAGACTGTCCAAAGGAGGGCGTGGGAAGAAAAAGGAAGAAAAAGGAAGGAGGGTCGAGGGAGCAGACATGTACCTCCCAGCCGAGCACTGTCCAGAGAGCCTGCCCAGTGGACTCTGAACACTAGGATCTCCCCAAGAAGCTCATCTGCCCACCCCCCATGGAGCCCCAAAGTAGCATAAACTGAGAAAAACCTCTTAAATCCACTTGGATCCCTTTGTTCTGACCCTGATATTTGTACTCCCTGTGTGGCCTCCACCACCCCAGGAGGAGCTGAGGGGACATGTGAGCCTGAGCGTTCTGTCTGCTGATGGCTGTGGTCCTTCCCGCAGCCCAAGAGCCCAGGATGTGCGTCTGTCCCAGCGATGGAGCTGCTCTCCTGGCGCTGGCCAGTCAGCTTGGAGCCTCTAAGACCGAGGATGGGACTCTGGGCTGTGGTTTTGCCCCAAGGTGATGGCAACCTCAGGCCCCTTAGACCATCCCAGATCCCAGATGCCCTCTGCCTATTTCACTATCTGTCTTCCCCAAATGGCAGTGAAGCCCTTCTTTTCTTTTCCGTTTTTTTTTTTTTTTTTACAGGGAAAGATTTGCCCTGAGCTAACATCTGTTGCCAATCTTTCACTTTTTTTTTTTCTCCCCAAGCCCCAGTGCATGGCTGTATATCCTAGTTGTAAGTCCTTCTAGTTCTTCTATGTGAGCCACTGCCACAGCATGGCAACTGACAGATGGTTGGTGTGGTTCCATGGCCAGGAAATGAACCCGGGACACCGAAGCAGTGAGAGCACCAAATTTTAACAACTAGGCCAACAGGGCTGGCTCAGTGAGGCCCTTCTCTTAACAGACCTAGAGCCTTCCTCTCCCTGGGTCAATGTTCTCTTCTCAGACCCACACCCCAAGCCCTTGCTCCCCAGGTACAAGTGTCGTCCTGTGAAGGTCTCCCCTACTGAACCCTTTCTCCAGAAAGATCTAGACTAGGAGAACAGGAAGGCAAGGCATGTCTTGGCCTTACCTGACCTGCACTTGAAATGACCAACTCCCTTGTGAAACTGTGCACCATCATCACAGCCCATCTCTGTAAGGGTGCAGGGCCTGGGCCCCAAGGGAAGCCAGGCTTTGCAGAGATGCGGTATTTATTGAGAACCATCTGACTGAAAAACTGACCTTTCTGTATATGTGTGTGCATGTACATGTGTGCAGGCATGTGTGTTTGGGGACAGCATGGTCCATGGTCAGCAGTCCAATCAGACTGCCTTGCCCAGCCCCATGTGGTTGTCAGCCCTGTCAAAGACGCTATAATGCTCCTGCATGAAGACAACCCCCAGGATCCACTGCTGGGAACTGTCACCCTGGAAGCCACTGGTGCAGGAGCCCTGGGCCTGGGAAAGACAAAGCAGAGATGAAGCTGGTCCCAACCCCAGTAGCTGTGCCTAATGGTAGGCCTTTCCCCACCCCACCCCCCAATTACTCTTTCATCTATTATTTCCTTTCATCCTTGAAACCTCCTTCCAAGGTGAGCAAACAAGTATCAGATTCATCTCACTCAACAGATGAAGAAATTGATATCCAGGGCCAGCCCCATAGCATAGTGGTTAAGTTCAGTGCGCTCTGCTTCAGTGGCCTGGGTTCGCAGTTTCAGATCCTGGGTATGGACGTACACCACTCATCAGCCATGCTGTGGCAGCAACCCACATATAAAAATAGTGGAGGAAGATTGGCACAGATGTTAGCCCAGGGCTAATCTTCCTCAAGCAAAAAAAGATTGGCAACAGATGTTAGCTCAGTGCTGATCTTCCTCAGTGGAAAAAAAAAGAAAGAAATTGATAGCCAAAAAATAAAGTGATTTAATCCAGGATCACCCACTGGGGCCCTGGAGATCTGAGCCCCATTCCCCTCACTCCACTGCCCCTCACCCGTCCTCCCAAGCCCCCGGCCCTCCTGCTATCAGCACCTACTGCCCTGATGACCGGCGAGAGCAGGCCTGGGGGCCTGAGGTTTTGCCAGTTTGGGGTGCTCAGGACTAGGTCAAAGCTGAGGCCAGTAGATCAGGGGGGATGAAGACTGGGTCACCACAAAGCCCAGGCTATCTAAGAAAATCTCAAACAGAGCTCTAGGCCCCTGGGCTTAGAAGCTAGAGCTTTGGATGGAGGGTCCCACAAGGAGCTGTGGTCCTGCCTACCCCACCCTCCCTCAGGCTGCTGGGCTCTGTTCTTCCTGTCTGCCCCATTTCTCCCAGGATGAGGCTGTAGAGGCCACAAATGAGGCCCAAGGACAACAGGGCCCCACCCAGAAGAGAGAGTTGGTCTAAATGTATGTGCTGCAGTCTCCATCTAGCCATGCGCTTCTCATCACCATCTTCACTGACTTGCCAGGAGGAGGCGGAGGGGTCCTAGGTGAGCCCAGAACTCCCCATCCTGGGACTCAGACCTGGCTGGTGTAGGCGGAGGGGGCAGTGGGTACTTTCTGCCTTGGATCTCAAAGGCCACCGTGGGCAGGCATGCCGCTAGACTCCCGCAGTCAAAGTTAAACTAAAGACCAGAGGGAGGTCCTCTTAGAAGGACAATGGGTGTGGTCTGACTGGAAGAGACAGAGCAGATCCCAGAAAGGACCCCTTCCCCTGCCAGGCAGTGGGGAGGGGCCTGCATTCTCAGAGGTCCCCAGGGAGGCTCTAAGGCTGGGGCTTGGTCCCAAGACATGGTCCTCAAAAAAGTCACATTGAAGGGGACCAGCTGTCAGCCAACTCAGGGGCAGACCCCGGCTTGGGACAAAGAAGAGTTTGCCTCGGTGTTTTTCCTCCGGGTCCAGCCAGAGCTACCAAGGACACTGGGAGCCCTTAGCTGTCAGGGAAGGAGGGAGGAGACCTGTGGGTGGGGAAGGAACAAAGGGGCACAGCAAAGCTCAGGGGTCAGGGATGCATGACTCTCCCGGGGGACAGGAGATCAGACTGCGGCTGCTGCATGAAACATGAGAACAACTGTGGGGCCAAAGCCGGAAGGCTGTTGTGAAGGCCTCCCAAGAAATCCCACACTCTGTGCGAAACAGGCTCCCTCACCACTTCCCTTTGTCATTTCTCCTGTGTGCAAAGGGGCCCCATCTTCAAGAGGGTCTGGGGAGTTGGGTAACAGCCTGCTCACCTGGCCATACTGACCCTGTGTGACTCCAACGACCATCTGGATGCTGAGGATGTTGCTGCTGGGCCCAACCAGCAAGGGGGTGTTCGTGTCCCAGATGGCCTGACAGTAACTGTCACAGGCCACCATGATGCCACCAACCATGACACTGCAGAATGGCCTCAAAGCATGTCCAGCATCCAGCTCTCCCTCCCTGGGTCCCTCTGAGCCTCTCCTGTCAGAATCCTCAGGCAGGGAGTGAAACGCAAACACCCGGACCCTTTCCCTCAGCTCCTTCCTAGAGCCCCCACAACCACCTGAGCTCAGACGAAAGACCTGAAACCATTTTCTCCCAACTCAGTGGCTAAGTCAAGGTGGTCCCACCTTCCATGGGACAGAAACTTTGGTAAAACAACAACGTCACAGGCTTTAAGGGGTGGAATGGGTACTGCACTAGTTGTCCGAAGACCTGATTTCAAGTTTTCTCCCTGCCATTTGCTTGCTGCAAGTCTCAGACAGGTCACCCAACCTGCCTGCACTCAGGCTTCTCATCTACAAAATGGGTACCCAACAACCCCCTCCCTGACTTCCTCACGGGGCGGTCGTGAGTTTCAAACTCTATGTTTGTAAATCATAAAATGAGGATAATAACAGCACCACCTCATAGGGTTTTAGTGGGAAATAAATGAGACAGTCATATTATCACTGAGCACAAGCCCTAGCAGGTAGTAAGTGCTCAATAAAGGCAGCTAGGCTTATCAATAAAACATAGGTGGACGTCCAGCATTCTCACTTACAAAGGTCACTGGCCCTGGAAGTGTCTGATTCAGACTCTGACACAGTGGTCTTATGAGTTGCTGTGCTGCAATCCTTCTCAGAGCCTTGTGGGCGGACACCCAGACCCTCAAATCTCACAGCTGGAGTCAGCCTCTGGCTGCCGCTCACCCACTGCCCACAAGGAATTTCCAGTACTCCTACACAGTCAAGGGCACCCAGTGCAAGCAACTTGTGTAGCAGGGTGGGTTGATGGCCCCCAGCATGAGCATGCCCCCTGGCCATTCCTGAAAGCAAGGAAAGGCATGTGGTGGCACTCCGACACTCTGGTTCAGTGAGGAGGTGCCACAGCCCCACACTGGGACAGATGCCATTGATGCCTGGCCCCATCGTCCTCCCCGCCCTCAACCCCCATCTCCATCCTGAAGGCTTCAGAAGAGCCTCCCTGATGCTCCTCCTCAGCTGGTTTTCTCCGATAGCAGCTGCAGCATCCTTTCTCCCTGCGCTCTGCAGCCCCCAGGCTCAGGCAGCACCCAGAGCCCAGAGCTCAGCCATTACTGCGTGCAGTGACGTCAGGAAGGAGCCCACCGTGTAGCACACGACTGCCTGCTCAGGGCACAGTGTTCCCAGCTGTCACCCTGTACCCCAGCTCCTGCCACCCAGGGCTTTCAGCCCACATTCCTTTGGCACTGAGTAGCAGAGGGAGTGGTCAACAAGGTCCCATACACTTCAGATAAAATCTACCACCCAAGCCCAAACCCCTCTGTCCGCCTGGGGCTCTGTCTCACAGCCAGGAAACGCCGGCACACTAGTGTTAGCTGCTTCCACTCTGCTGCCCTGGGTTCCTAGACCTCATCAAGCTCCCTCCCATGTGGAGCAAGAGCTCCAGCACCTGCTCTCCCCACTGCCTAAAATGCGCTGCCCTATCTCACCTGGAGAGCTCCCACTCATGCCACAGCAAAGCTTCCCCTGGCCACCCTCCACACACACACCCCGGTTAGACGGGGCTCCCCTGTTATGATTAAGCCTTCAGTACACCCAGATCTCCCGGGCAGCGAGTGCCTTTATCCCAATTGTAATCACAATGTGTCTGTAACTGGGTGTTGTCTGTGTCCCCTACTAAGTTAACCCCTGATTTGTCTTGTTTGTCCTTGTATTCCCATCTCCTGGCACAACCTCTGTACATAGTGAGAGCCCAGTAAATATCTCTTGAATGACTGAAGGAATGAATACACCAATTTGTCCCTTTCCTGGGTTCCTCTGACTTCAGCCACCCAAGCCCTTCCTCCTGGGGGTGGTCCCCTCCTCCCTGTCCTGCCACCCGCCCCTCTGTCCAGTGGCACTGAGCTGCAGCATCCCAGGGGCAGGCAGGTGGAAAGAGAGCCCTGGACTGGGAGTCAGGAACAGTGGGCTCTAGGCATGGCTTGGCCACCAGTTCCCCAGGTGATCATCCCACACAGGCCTCAGTTTCCCCCATAGTGAAAGAAGGTTGGACTCCTTTGGAGCCTGCTCTAAAAGTCTGTGAATTTCAGCAACATCAACAAATGGTCACTGAGACCTGCCACTTTGGAAAAAAGAAGTTAAAAGCCCCCATGCAGTGACTGGGTCAGGCTTCATTTTTAAATGCCAGAAACAAAAGTCAAATTGTGGCCCAGCAGACTCTGGCTGCATCAGTGACTATGCTGGGGACCTTGGGACAAGAGGTCAGACGTGCCTGGAAACAGGAGAGGATTTGCTTGGACACGGTGACTCCCCTGGCGTTGCAGTGACCACAAGGGTGGATACTCTTCTCAGCCAACAGTCCTGGCCAGACTGTGGGAGTCTGGCCCTGGCTGGGCGCAGCTCCTACCTGTCCACGTAAACCAAGAACAGATCTCTGGCCACTAGGTGCCTGTGTACTATGTTGTCAAACACGGGCACCGAGAACAGGGAGGCGAGAGAGGGATAGGCCAGCCCCACAATCCCACCGACCTCAGGGTCGGTGAAGATGCCGCCAGGTTCCTGGGAGCTCAGGCCCTCTGTTTGGGGGGCTTCCACAATGTCAGAGACCTGCAAGAGAGCAGAGTGACCTCCACCAGGGGGCACCTGCAGCCAGAGACAGAAAGATCTCAGGTCAGAAGTCATATCAGTGTCAGCCTCTGCTGGCCCGCCCTCCCTCCTATAGGCAGCATAGCTATTTGAGTTAAGAGAGAAAGCCCTCCTTTCTCAGCTCCATGCTGCGGTTTTGAGGGAATGAGGCAGGGGTGAGGGGGAAGAGAGGATATGGTGGAAGGTGCAGACAGCAGTGCTCGAGGGGTAGAAGCTGGGAGGTGAACCCAAAGAAGGAGGTGGGACAAGGGATGCTCCAAGGCCCTCTGCCAGCCTACACCTCCCATGGGCTGCACCTCCCATCGATGCACCTGGGGTATCTCCCAGGGACTAGTTGTGGGGCAGCACGATGGACGGGAAGAACACGCGTGCATCTGAAAGACCCAGCTGTGCCTCCATACTCTGTCGTATGCTGACTGTGTGACCTTGGACAAGTACCTCTCCAAGCCTTTACCTCCTCGTCTGTTCAATGGAATAATAAACCCTGCCCCTCAAGGCAGGGCTTTGCCTAAATAATACTAATGCTGGGCATTTACAGAGCACTTACTAAATGTTTTGTCATTGAACATTTATTGGCACTATGCTAAGGAAGCGCTCACCCCACAATGTCCTGTGAGTCTGCCCACTGACCTGGAGGGCCGACGTGTCCACCAGCCTATTCTGAGCTACCACAGTGGCCCACCAGGCCTCCACTTCCACTGTCCCCGTGTCACCCATCCTCCCCACAGTCAGCCAAAACCATCTTTGAAAATGGACATTGAGTCATATCACACCTTGCTGCAACCCTCCAAAGGCTCCTGATGATGCTCAGAATGAAGCCTTTGTCCTGCAGTCCCCTCACACTCTGATCCTACTACTCACACCTCGTCTCATTCCTCTCACCCTTAACTCACTCTGCTCCACCCTCACTGATCGTCCTCCTCTTCGTCAGATGCCCCAAATCTTTCTTGCCCAGGTCTTTGCACTTGCTGTCCCCTGTGCCTGGAACACTCTCCCCAGGTCTTCTTAGGTCTGGCTTCTGGAATCGTGTCATTCTGGTCTCAGCCTGCCATGGGGCATCACATCCTCCAAATCTATGTCCCCGGCCCCCAGGCACTCTCTCTCACAATTTCCAGTTTGGTTTTCTTCATGCCGCTCAGCGGTGTTCAAAGTCATCTTACTTAAGTGTCTGCTGTCTCCCCCACTAGACTCCAAGCTCGAGGAGGGCAGGCCCTTTGTCTGTCTCGTTCATCATTGTAGCCTCAGTCCCTAGAACAAGGCTCAGTAAGCATTGTGGAATGCATAAGTGAATGATGGTTAAGTGCTAAAGAATAAATATATTCATTCATTCTTTGGGTCAACAGTTATTGAGGGCCTCCAGGACTCCAGGTGCTAGGCCCTGGGGATGTAGCAATGAGCACAAGAAAGTGCTTGCCCTGGATGAACTTATATTCCAGTGGGGGAAATAGATAATAAATTTTAAAAGAAGTAATATAGAGGTGTCTGACTGTAATACAGATTGCATGTCAATAAGATAGAACAAAAGGACTCTGAAGGAAAATCAATCAGGGTAAGGGCCATAGTCAGTGGGGTATTTCGCACGGTGAAGAGAGATGGCCTCACTGATAAAGTGCACTGAGCAGATGGAAGGAAGAGAAAGAAGGAGCCATTGTAGATTTAAGGGAAATGCTTTGTAGGCCAAGGGGAGAGGGTGCTAGAAGTGGTCCAGTCATAGCAAGGATGTGCATGGGAGTGGGGGGTAAGGAGGGCAGGAGACAGCAAAGGCCCAGTCACATGGGGCCTCACAGGCAGGGTAAGGACTGTTCATTTACTTTGAGTGAGATAAGGAACCACAGAAAGATTTTGAGCAAATGATGGGCACGAAACGACTTAGATTTTAAAAGGATCCCTGTGGCTGCTGTGTTAGGCTGTGAGGGACAAGGGTAGAAGCAGGGAGCCCAGTCAGGAGGCAGTTATCCAGGTGAGAGGCTACGGAGGCTGGAACCAAGATGGCAGCAGCAGACTGCGAGAAGACCCTCCTCCAACAGTCAAGAAGGAGGGTCAACAGGATTTGCAGATGGGTGAGGTAAGGGGAATGAAAGGATAAACAAACAATGAATGACGATTAACGTAGTCAGTCTTCCCCACAACCCTCTGAGGTAAGTGTTACTACCTCCCTTTTATAGATGAGGAGATTGAGGCTTGTCCAAAGTCACACAGCTCAATAGAGAGAAGTCAGGATTCAAACCCAGCTGTATCCACCCTGGAACCCTGCTTCCAATCACAGCGTGTGATGCAGTGGATCCCTTTCTCCCTCTCAGCTTAGCACCCAGTGCCTCCCCCTCTGGGCAGGGTGCTCCGGGATAGTGGGGAGACTCCGTGAACACGAGCTTGGCTGTCTCCCACAGCCTGCACACAGCACTCCCTTCCCGATGGCTCCCATGACAGACCCTTCTCCTGTTTCTGGCCTTGATTCCGCTCCTATCATTTGAGCCAGGCCCCAAGCTAAGCCTGCTGAACTTCTTCATCCTTTCCTCCTGCTGAAAACTCCCCGCTTGAAACAGGGAGCTGGGATGACCGCCCCATTCAGTCCCCACACTGACCGCAGCCAGATCTGGTCCAGAAGCAGAGAGCAGGGCCAGCCCGTGGCCTGCCCCCAAAGCCAGGCAGATGGCTTCCCAACACACTCCCTACCCCACGCCTCACCCACTTCCACATGAGACTGCTGAGGGGTCTGACCCCTTGAGACTCCCTCTCCCACCCTTGCCCGAGGGGGTGAGTGAAGGCAGCCAGATTGGCCACAGCTGAGGCCAACAGGAAAGGGCCAGCTCCTCCATGAAAGTGCAGGTTTTTTCCCTGAACCCAAAATAGCAGGAAAGAAAGCAAATGGCTCCAGGCAGCAGAGGTAGTAGGACACCTGGGCAGGGGAATTAGCCTCCCAAAGGCCTGTCTGCTGGGCCACCTCAGCAAGTGGCTCTCGGGCCTCTGGTGTCCAGAGCTGTCTCTTGGGGAGGCCTGAGCTGGGTGGTCATCTGCCCAGCCAAGGGAAGAGGCTGAGGAGAGGGGGGTCAGCAGAGAAAGGCTGTGTCTTTTTGGGCTCACAGCAAAAAAGACTTCAGCCAGACTCATGAAGAACCCAAGGAAGATCAAGGTGATGAACACCAAGGGATGCTGTTTGATTTTTAATCTTAGATAGTGGGCGAGGAAGGAAAGGAAGAAGCTAACAGGCATTAGACACTGACTGTGTGCCCATCACTGTGTTAGGTACTTTAGAAGCCAAAAAGAGGCAAGAGAAAGGGGAGCCCTTGTCCAGAGGGCACAGATGCTCTCTGACTTGAAAGAAGATGCTGCTCTGGGACTCAAAGAGTGAGGTCAAATCAAGATCGCCACTCAGAGTCAGAGATGCAGCTCTGACGCTCAGCTCCCACAGTGGCCAGCTGTGTGACTTTGGAAGCCAGCAGCATGGCAGGCAGTCCACTGCTGCACGCTAAGAACCAGGAACACGGCCCTGCATGCAGGCTCCAGCTGCCGTGGGAACCTCCACTCCAGTCCCTGTGCTGAGGCTGCCGGATGCCAGGGACTTGGAAGAACTTCACTTTCAGGACCATCACAGGGAGTCTGACCAGGCAAAGTCACCCTGAGACCCCTTGTCAGGGCTCCGGCTCCCCAGGAATGGATTCAGGTTTCCCTGTGCTTGGGGCTTGAGACAGCTTAATCCTGGGAACCAGAGGTAGAGTGATGTCACAGGAAGACTGCATGTCCAGCCGGGACCAAGTCCCAGCTCCCCCATTACTAACAACGTGGCCTTGAGGGCCCTCCTTGAATAACAGTTTCCTCATCCATAAAATGCAAATACTAATATTGACCTAATCCAGGGAGATTAGTCGTAGTATAGGTAGACCTACTTAAGTGTCTGGCAGCTACTAGCAAGCAGCTCAGTCAATATCAGTTATTATTTTTGGAGAAGGATCTGGGAACTTCACCCACAAAGGACTTGGCACAACAGAGAACTTTATTTTGTTTAACAAATACATACATAGCTCTTATGATGTGCCAGACACTGTTCGAAGAATTTTACAAACATTAACTCATGTCAGCCCTACGAGAAGAGACTTCTGTTACCCTAATTTTATAACAGATGAGGATACTGGGCACGGAGAGGTAAGTTAGTGATGGAGGATGTTGTTGGGGATCAAATCGCAGACAGTTTGACTCCAGAAGCCACGCCCTTAATCTCCCAGGACTCCATCTGACGCCCTGTCTTGTTCACACACCCTGACGGGTAGAGGCACACTTAGAGGGAAAGGTCACCACATGCAAAGCCAAGACTGATGGAGTGATTATCCTGGGAACCTGCAGCATTTCCTCAGCAGACTCCCCAGGGGAACCGATGCTGGAAGACCAGAGAGAGACCCGCCCACAGCAGATGCCTGAGCTGCCCTTCCCCTCCCCTGGGGCCTGGCACCCACCTGGCAATCCCACTGCCCTGGGAGAGAGCGAGGACTGCAGGTAGCACCACGAGACACCTCATCCTGGGCCATGGGATGGTCTCTGCTCCAGCCAGTGCCCACGCCCACAGCCTTTACAGAGGGTGGAAGAGCCTTTATAGAGGCTGAAGAGACAGCCGCTGACTCCAGGCTACTCCACAAATGCATTAAGATAGCACCCAGACCACCTAACACCCACCCTGATAAGGGGCACAGACTCCTCCATGCCAGGGACTTCAAAGGACTTCACATGTCAGACCTTCGAGCTGGGAAATGTCACACGGGCCTCGCTGATCTGATTTCCCCTCCCAAGAAGGACTTCTCGAGCTAACACAGGTGAGGCCACCGCCAGAACCTGTCTCATGTTCCACCTTATGGGCTTTAAAGAGGTCTTTTCCTACCAGACCCCACTCTGTGCTAGCCGCCGCCTCTCCCTGGGCCTGACTTCATAGGGCACCGGCAGCCTGCCCTGTCCAGGGATCTCCCAGCCCAGTCTCCCAAGGGGCACTCAGTCTATTCCTGAAGTAGCATCTGAGGCAGAGAGTGCTTGTTCAGTCTGTCACCGTGGTCTAAGAGAGATGACATGCCCAAGGCTCCTGCACCCCCGGGACTGTGGCCCTTGGTTCCATGTTAGAAGGGTGTTGGTAAGGTGCGGGGGTAGATGGCAGATGACAGGAGCAGTTGGGAGCCCTGGGGAGGGTGAACAGGGAAGGCAGACATGTGCCACACACAGAGGGGAAGGAGGGAGACCTGATGTGATGGTCAGATTTAGGGAACAGGTTGGGCCAGGACTCAGCATCTGAGTCCCATGCAGGAGTCTCAGGCCTGCAGCCTGAGAGAGAATTAGGACAAGATGGAAAACCAGAACAGTAGCCACGAAAGTGGTGAAGAAGATCACGTCCCAGGGGAGAGGGGAGGTTATAAACTGGAAAATCAGGATAATCAGGGTCACTACAGGATAAGCAGAGGCTGCAGGACCACAGGTGTGCAGGAGACCGCGGTGTGGCTGCCGATGGTGCAGGACAGACGTCTGTGTAGTGAGGGGGGCCCGGGCAGGTGGAAGAGGAAGGCGTGGAACTTGGACAGAGAGGGCAGGCTGGGCAGCTGAAGAGGCGGGCATGTGGTAGGCCCTGGACAGACAGGGCACTGCTGAGAGGGATGGACCCAGAAGCTTCCTGTGTTTGACTTGTAAGGGCCTCAGGAGGCCCACGCACAGGGGAACTGAGGGTTTTATGACAGCGGTTAGGAGGA